ACACACACACACACACACACACACACACACACACACACACACACACAGAGGGTAGATAATTCAAGTGGCTACAACCAACCTTACATATGTACATACACATCTGGTGGATGGAGTAAACCCACAGGCAAAATTCTTTATTTCAGGAAAAAAAAATACCTCATGGCCATAATAGCAAATGTCACTGAAACAGATAAAGTTGTTACACAGTACAGCAGGATTGTTGATTACTCATGCCTAACTAAACATTTCTTATCTATCATTTCTTATTCATTCCACTAGTTCATTGTAAGTTCAGAGCAATAGTTTTTCATGTCATAGGTTAACAAGGTCTATGGTTAGCATGGTTTAAAGATTTACAAACAAGATAATTCTTTACGTGTCTTTCCATTATGGCTTGCACCTAACTAAACATTATCTATCTCTTAGTTCCACAAGTTCATTACAAGTTGAGAGCAATAGTTTTTTATGTCATAGGTTAGCAAAGTTCTTACTAAGAAACAAGTCGTCTATTTTATGTCTTATTTTTAATTCCCTATATAGTTTAAATTAGTTATCATGGTGCATACTGAGACCCGTGACCCCATCCCTGGACCTAACCTAGAATGAATGTTTTCCTGGATCATGAATTTGCCTCCAGGCTGTTCTTCTTAGTACAATTTTTATGCTTGTGACATACAAAGGTTCACAGAACTCCCTTATGCTGCCTTTGCTGTTCTTCAGGGGAGAGCCTGAAGTTACTTGAAGCAAATCAGGAATTCTGTAAACTCATTATCAAGAATTATAATCACTTATAAAATCTAAACAGCATTATTTTATGAAAGTTCATCTTCATACTGATCTGCAGGAATTTTACCCAACAGTGTAGGCTGTCACCCAGGAAATAATCACACCAGACTACAGGCAGTGAGGATATCCTCATTTTCAGCTACATAATACTAGATATATGAGGAATACAGCAATGGCAAGCATGGAAAGGCATCCCAGGAGCAAGAAGCAATTTGGAGACAAAATTCCTGGGGTCCATGCCTCACCAGGGCATATCCATTGTCAGCTGTGCAGAAGCGGTGGGCTGCCTTCAGGAAACTGGCTTGCCACACAGCCTTTTCTGCATGGCCTGTGCCACTTTGTATATAATAAAACAGACTGACCTTTCTAAACAATAGTTTTCTATCCAGTCAGGGATGTAAACAGGGATTTTGGTGATACCACAAAGCAGCAGAACTCATTTTCTGAACAAAATCATGAACCTCTGTAGAAAACAAAGCCCGAGCCACTGTGGTGGGTCGGAGAGCACAGCCTGAGTCATCAGCTCCTCTTTACCTTAAAGCATACTTCTGAAAATTTTTATCTTTAGCGAGGTTCTGGGACAGTTGCTTTTCATTTATGCTTCAAGCACATTCTGTGTGAGGTTCATTTAAACCAGTGACTTTTGACCTTCCTAATGTTGCCACTCTAATACAGTTCCTCATGTTGTGGTGACTCCAACAGAGAAACAATTTTACAATTTGATTTACAGGTAGGTTTAATAAGTAGGTAAAATCATGTTTTTAAAATGTTTAATGTCATTGGAGGCGGTATAGACCGTATTAATAGTAATATCCCTGTTCTGGAATGTTTAGTTTTCCATTTAAAGTTAATACTGAGGCAACTTGAGTTTTAAGTCCAGATGACTGAAACGAGGGAACAGCAAGGATGTGGGACAGATAATAAAAGGAAACAAGGTAGAGAGCCTGCTGCATAGCAGGGATATAGGTACTTTGAAGGAGGAGATGCTGCATAATCAAAACTAAAGGAATAAAAATAAGTGTTTCAACACTATTTTCAAAGAAGAGAGCCAGGGACATGAACCAAAATGTATAATAAAAATGAGCCAAATGAAGTCTTAGGAAAGAAAAAGTCCAAGAAAACAATATTGGGAGCCAAGTCCAAAGTCTGTTTCTCCACCAAGCGAAGCAGGATGTAGCTCTCTGTGTGCCTCCATGCTTCCTGCCATAATGATGATGGGCTGAATGTCTGAAACTGTAAGCCAGACCTCAATGAAATGCTTTCTTTTTGTGGTGTCTCTTCACAGCAATAGAACACTAACCAAGGCACATGTTACTCTAACCATTTTGGATTTTGGAGCATTTCATATTTTTTTAGACTAGAGACACTCAACCATTAAATAATATATTCCAAATCCTGAGACTTTTCTGGTTTTGAGTTATTGTAGATGAAGTTCACCGAACTGTGATTCTGGAAATTAATGTGTGTATGTAGAAGGAGAAGAAATTGATGTGTGTACGTAGTAAAGGTAAAGCTACAGTTAGATAACAAAGAATCTGGTAGTGTAGATCCTTATGTGGAACGCCAGGACTTTCCTAAATGCTGTAAAATGCCATGTGGGTATTCTGAGCAGAAAGTCATACATGATTTGGTCTTTAAAAAACATTCTGGCATGGCTAAGATAAAAAACTCAAGTGACAATACATGCTGGAGAGTATGTGGAGAAAGGGGAACCCTCCTCCATTGCTGGTGGGAATGTAAACTTATATAACCACTCTGGAAAGCAATCTGGCACTTTCTCAAGATCCAGCTATACCACTCCTCGGCATATATCCAAAATATGCTTAAGTATACAACAAGGACATTTGTTCAACCATGTTCATAGGAGCTTTATTCATAATAGCCAGAACCTCGAAACCAGATGTCCCTCAATGGAGGAATGGATACAGAAATAGTGGTACATTTACATAATGGAATACTACTCAGCAACTAAAAACAAATCATTAAATTTGCAGGCAAATGGTGGGTTCTAGAAAAGATCATCCTGAGTGAGGTATCCCAGAAGCAGGAAGACACACATGGTATACACTCACTTATAAGTGGTTACTAGACATATAATATAGGATAAACCTACAAAAATCTATATACCTAAAGAAACCAAGCAAGAAGGAGGACCCGGAATAAGATGATCAATCCTTACTCAGAAAGATGAACAGAATGGACATTGGAAGAAGGAGAAAACAGGACAGGAGCCTACCATAGAGGGCCTCTGAAAGACTCTACCCAACAGTGTTATCAAAGCAGGTGCTGAGACTTATAACCAAACTTTGGGCAGAGTGCAGGGGATCATACGAAAGAAGGGGGAGTTAGTAAGACCTGGAGAGAACAGGAGAGCAACAGTACCAAAATATCTGGGCACAGGGGTCTTTTGTGAGACTGATACTCCAACCAAGGACCATTCATGGAGATAATCTAGAACCCTTGCATAGACATAGCCCATGTCAGTGTCCAAGTAAGTTCCCTGGTAATGGGAACAGGGACTGTCTCTGAAATGAACTCAGTGGCTGACTCTTTGACCACCCCCCCCCCCCCGAGTGGGGGAGCAGCCTTGCCAGGCCACAGAGGAGGACATTGCAGGCAGTCCTGATGACAACTCATAAGCTAGGGTCAGATGGAGGAGGACCTCCCCTATCAGTGGACTTGGAGAGGGGCTTAGGAGGAGATGAGGGAGGGAGGATGGGATTGGAAGGGAATGGGGGAGGGGGCTACAGCTGGAATACAAAGTGAATAAACTAATTTATATAAAAATAATAAAACATTCTGGCATCTTGGGAACAATAGGTGGTTAGGAACTGAAAGGTCACAGGTTTGCAGTTCAAGGGGGGCATGTGGCAGATTGTCTTTTTTAGTAAAAATTTATCAGAAGCATTATTAATGTCATTGGGACACAGCAGCATGGTGAGTATTCTGGGGGGAAGTTAGGCCCAAGAGGTGTGCCTGTGGGTCCCTTCCTACAAGTTTCCTATCAGGAATGTACAGCCAAGCTTTTTTTGGTTCCTGGGCAGCAAGGAGAAGGCCGTGAGAGGGAATTCTGGGGAAGGAATGAATGAGGAGGAAGGATACCTAGTTGGAGTAGACCTAATACCCAGGCAGAAGATCTGTGTCACTGTTAGTTTTCTGCTGTCACCAGGAATCTGGCAACCTTAGGTCTGTAAGCTCATTGGGAGAGTGAAAATGTTATCTGTCATTCTCTGGAATCTTGACACATGAGGAGTCTGTTTGCAACTCCTAGATAGGCTCTTGATAGAATATCTTCTTTCCCTATAGCAGTAGAGATCCCAGAATGAACTGGGAGGGTGGAGATGGGTGGAGATGGAGAGGGCTGCAGATAGGGTGTGACTTGGGTAGTGTCTCACGTGGAATTATATGTCACATGTAAAAAAAAAAAAAAAACTCTGATATATATATCAGAGTTAGAGAAGTGTTTGGCTTCTAGGTTTTTCTTTTTACATTTTTAAAATTGTGACCATAAGAAATATTTAAAAGAGCCTGTTGGTGGTGCCACATACCTTTAATCCTAGCTCTCAGGAGGCAGAAGCAAGCAGATCTTTTTAGTTTGAGGCCAGCCTGGTCTACAGAGCTCTAGGACATCCAGGGTATACAGAGAAAACCCGGTCCTTCACCCCACCCAAAACAAACAAACAAAAACAAAAAATAGAAAAGTATCTTAAGAAAAAACATAAGACAGAACAACTCAACTCCAGAGTTAGGAATATAATTCAAAGTGATGACTGTGACCTGGACTCTTTTAATTTGAAGCTTTAATATACAAGGTTAAGACAGTTATACCTGTGTTTCATGTAGTAGAATTTACTATATGCTTTACATTTTTAATTTATTTGTGTAGGTATGTGTATGTGTACCTGGGCACACAACCTGTGTGTTGTGTATGTGAGGAGGTCAAATGACCACTTGCAAGACTCAGTTCTCTCCTTCAGCCACATAGAAGAACCCTAGGATAGACCACAGGTGATTAGGCTTGGCAGCAAGTGCCTTTGTCTACTAAGGCATCACCTTGGTCTATAAAGCACTTTACACATTTGACTCACCACATGACTTACCACATTTGACACATTAAATTTGTGGGAAAGGATGAAGTCATGAATATTAAAATATATATAAACATGATTTGTCACTTTCTTTTTGAAGCATCATATTCTCGAAAAGATAAAGATCAAAGGAAGCAGCAGGCGATGTGGCGAGTGCCCTCTGACTTAAAGATGCTGAAAAGGCTCAAAACTCAAATGGCTGAAGTCCGGTGCATGCAGACTGATGTGAAGACTACACTGTCAGATATAAAAGGCAGCAGTGTTGCTTCTGCAGACATGCAGACAAACCTTTTCTGTGCTGACCAGGCAGCTCTGGCCACGTGTGGACCTGAAAACTCTGGTAGATTACAGGATTTGGGAATGGAGCTTCTAGCAAAGTCATCAGTGGCTGGCTGTTATATACGAAACCGTAAGTGAAGACGTTCCCATAATGTAATTTCTCTTATGTGCTTTGTGAAATCATTATGACTGGTGATTGTTTTTTCTTAACAGTCACTCATCAATATTCTAATGAGTTCAGTTAAAAAATGTTTTGTTTTGTTTTTGTTTTTTTAATATGGATGTTTTGCCAACATGTGTGTGCTTGGTACCCACAGAGGCCAGGAGTGCATTGACTCCCCTGGAACTAGATTTACAGACTGAGCATCAGTATGAGTGCTCAGTCTTGAACTTTGCTCATAACCACTGAGCCATTTCTTCTTCTCTTTTTATGACTTAAAATAGCCTTTTTTCTTTCTTCCCATCCAAAATTGACTTTTTTTTTTTTCCAAAGGGTATGTGTGTGTGTGCGTGCGTGCGTGTATGTGAATGTCAGTATACAACATGGTGTACTTCTCTGTGGAGCCAATTCTCTACTTGCATATGTGGCTCCCAGGGATTGAACTAAGGTTGTCAGGCTTTAAAGTGGCATGTGCCTTTACCAGCTGAGCTGCCTGTCCAGTCTAATTCTAATGTTTTTTTATATGATGGAACTAACTGTTTTGATTGCTCAGTCTGTACTTGGCATTAAGCGACACTTCAGTAGCCTTACAGATCCTTGCATTGTAGTGATAAGAATCAGACAGCAAAACTGGGCGTGGTGCTGCTCACGTGTAATCCCAGCACTCAGGGAGGCAGAGGCAGAAGGGATCTCTGAGTTCAAGGCCAGCCTTGTCTACAGAGCAAGTCCAGGATAGCCAAGGCTACACATAGAAACCCTGTCTTGAAAAAAACAAACAAAAAAAATCAGACAGTAAAGTATGTAAATAAATTGACTGAAAATAATTTAATGCGTATTGACCACTGTGATCAGGTGTAGATGCAGAATGCCTTAGTTTTTGGGAGGTAGTCAGAGAAAGTCTCTGCAAAGGACAAGCTTGAGCTGAGCTCTTGGGGTGGTCAGTGTTCTATATGAACAGGACAGACATACAAATTCACTGGCATTAGGGTTACTTAGAAGGATTAAAGGGAGTCTAGCATGAGTGGATGTGGTGAATCAGGCAAGGCAGACTGTGATGAGTTCAGAGACAGCAGGGTCTAACCTGGGCTCTTAGAAGACTTGAGTAAGGAGTTTGAGCTCTTTGTTGAGAAACAGCTGCATTGTGAAGAAAGATCTAATAAAGTTTCAGAGCAGGAGCTCCATTAAATTAGCTCGTGTGCATTTAGTGGTGTAATCTGGAGCTAAAGCCAAGGGTAGATAGATTTACTCATAGCCTGGCAGCTTGCTTTGACCAGGTTTCTCATTCTCAGTAGTAACCAGTACTGTTCTAGATGCATAAAGGAAAAGTTAATCTGTTACATACAATACATGTCTTAGACCAATAAAATTTAGTGTTTAGGGCATTTCTGTAACTTGCTCTGTAGACCAGGCAGGCCTTGAACTCAGAGATCCACCTACCTCTGCCTCCCAAGTGCTGGGATCTTTCTTTCTCTCTTTTTTCTTATCTCTTTCTTTTTTCTTTCTCTCTTCCTTTCTCTCTCTCTCTCTTTCTTTCTTTCTCTCTCTTTCTTTATCTTTCTCTTTTTCTCTCTCACTTTCTTTCTTTCTCTCTCTTTCTCTCTCTCTGTCTTTCATAACTGTACCACATGCTGCCTATTCCCTATAGATAGTTTGCACGTTTTGACTATAATCAATGCTGTGACTGTGAACATATAAGTTATGGTGTAGAGAATAAATATTTTGTTTAATTTGAGTTACACTTAGAAGTGTCCTTGCTGGCATAATTGGAAACCATGTTTATCTTTGAGGAACTGCTACAGTGTCGTACTTTGAAAACATGCAGAATTGTGTTTGTCAGTCATGTTCTCCATGTTGTCTGCAACACTTGCTCTTGTCTCTTTCCTTTACCCATTGATTTGTCTTGGCATCCTTGTTAAAGTCAGAGTGTAAATGTGAAAACTGCTTCTGGAGTCTCAGTTATGACAAATATCTGTCCATATGCTGATACCACCCAGTTATTTTTGGGGTGTGTGTGTGTGTTTTTTCCTGGTGGTGGTGGGAAAGGGGGCATGGCAATGTTGAATGTGGGCTCACACATCCAGGTTCTACTGGCAACATGTTCCAATGTTCCTTCCTCAGCCACCTACCTTTGTTTGAGACTGGATCTCACTCTAACCCAGGCTGGACTAGAGCTCACTGTGCAGCCCATTCAGGCCGCACTGGAATTTAGGACAATCCTCCTGTCTCAGCTTCCACCAGGGCTAGGATTTCAGGTGTGCACCACTGCCTCTCTCAGCTTACTCTCTCTCTCTCTCTCTCTCTCTCTCTCTCTCTCTCTCTCTCTCATTTTTGAGCTTCTTAAGAGCTTTACGCTGATTGTAGCACTGTCAGAGGAGAGCTGAGCACCCACTGAGCTGGCCCTTCTGCAGCTGAGGATCAGTAGTGGGCTGCAGGCCTGAGGCTCTGGGTTGGTCCCTGCCAGTAGGCATGGGCGCGAGTCTTCTGTTTGAGATTGCCTTTGCCATGCTGGATCCCGTACTGGTTCATAGAAATTTTAAGAACCTGTTGTCTTTTTTTTGTTTTGTTTTGTTTTGTTTTTTCTTTGACATTTACTCAGGGAAGGAGCTTGTGGGGAGGTCAGAGGACAATTTAAAGGGTTGGTTTTCTCTACTCTGTGGGTTTCAGAAATTGAACTCAGTCTGTCAGACTTGCCCTCAGTGCCTTTACCTAAGCTGAGCCATCTTGCCAGACTCCAGATAATGAAAAAAAAAAAAAAATAGCACTTTTATATGGATTATGTTAAATTTGTAAATTGATTTTGGAAGTGTTACTTTAACAGTATTATCTCAGTCTAAACACAAAACTGTCATTTATGCTGTTTTTATTTTCTTTCTACAATGTATGGCAGTTTTTGATATGTAAGTCTTATTTATTAAATCTGTTTCTTTGAGTATTTTATTCTTTTGACACTTGTAAAAATAAATAGGTTTTTTTTTTATAAAATTTATTAAAAATTTGCAAATAAAAATATGAGTTATGAAAGTTCTAAAGCTAATTAAAGTTTAATTCTATCATAGACTTTTGGTTTAGTGGTAGATAAATGCATAAAATATATTTGATATTGAAAGTGTAAAATTTAATGTGAAGTTCCACAGCTTCTATTCAGAATGTCTCTTCTGAATGTATAGGAGTTCACTGAGTTGTGTAGTCTTTGCGATCTGGTTAATTTTGGTATGTGACGTCTTTGATAGAAATAGTTTTTTAAAGTTTATTCTGAAATTTTGTTATTTTTATCACATTTTTAGGACAGAGCTAAACTTGCTAATCCTGTTATCAATAAATCTTTTATGTTTTTTAAATTTGTTTTGGTTTAGGTTTTGAGACAGGGTCTCACATAATCCAGCCTGGCTCTGAATTCACAGTCTCCCTGTTTCAGCCTCCTGAGTGCTATGCTTAGAGCTATGCTGCTCATCTTCTCAACATTCTATTATTATTTTGATAATTTTTTTTTTTGTTTTGTTTTTGAAACAGGGTTTCTCTGTGTAGTCCTGATTGTCTTGGACTCACTCTGTAGACCAGACTGACCTTGAACTCATTGTGATCTGCCTGCCTCTGCCTCCCCAGTACTGGGGTTACAGGCATGCACCACAGTGCCAGCTATTTTGGTAAATTCTTGGCCGTGCCCGTGAGGCTGATTAGTTCTTGTTGTCACCATCTCATCATGTGTCTCCTTTCTGTATGCCCACCCTCAGTTATTTCAAGCTGCATGCTTTGTTGTCACTACTACTTTAGTCACAAGTTTTGTTGTTGTTGTTGTTAACAAGTATTTTGAAGTATTATAATTACAGTTTGTTTCAGATTCAGCATTGATTATATTTTTTTGATTCAGTCAAGCCCAATTTTTAGTTGTTTAGATTAGAATAGCTGTTCTCAATTTGTTGGTTGTGACTCTTTGGGGGTTATATATCGGATTCAGATGTCCTGCATTGGCTGATATTTATATTACAGTTCATTACAGTAGCAAAATTATAGTTATGAAGTACCACAAAGTAATTTTATGGTTGGGGGTCACAACAACAGGAACTGTATTAAAGGATCAGAGCATTAGGAAGATTGAGAACCACTAGATTAGAGGATTTATATTTTTGTTTACACTTTGTCTTAATTGATACAACTTTTTAAAAATGAGGTCATAGTTAATATTCTGTTTCAGAAGCAACAAAATTGCATTTGTCACAAAATAATTAATAAGCTGTCAGGATTACAGAACGTTTTAGAAAAACATCCATGTGTGGTGAGGATTAGACCTTTCTCTGACTATATATAGTGAGTTTGTGACATTTTACCATATTCAGAAATGACCCTAAATGTTTTTGCAGCCACAAATAAGAAGAATTCACCCAAGTCAGCTCGAGCCATAGCAGGCAGTCTCTCACTCCGAAGAGCCATGGACTCTGGAGAAAATGGCCGCTCAAAGGGAGACTGTCAGGCTTTGTCTGAAGGTAAATTTGAGGAATTCATAATATCATTTTATTGGGCATATGCTTGGGATTGGTGTGATATAGCTTTAACCTTGAAAAACACTAAAGATGTTAAGATTATAGTTGAACTTATGATTTTGTGGAGCCTCTTACTATTTTTCATGAGTTTGTTTTTTCTCTTATTTTTGGGTTTTAAAAAAGATTTGCATTTATCTTCAATTATCTACCTGTCTGTATGTGAGAAGGTGTACTCTTGACTCTCCTTTCTTAGCCTCCCAAGTTTTGGGGTGTCTGACATGTATCCCTGGGTTCTAGTATTTGAACTTTTTAATCTCAAATCACAGCAGTATTTTTAACTAAATATTTTGTACTTGTGTAGCTAGTCAAAACATTGGAATATATCTTTAATTTTTTTCAAAGTTTTTACTTAGTTTAAAATTCACATATAGTAGGCTGGAGAGGTAGCTCATGCGGAGGACCTGGATTTGATCATCAGCACCCATGGTGACTCACCACCATCTGTAACTCTACTCTTCTGGCTTCATTAACACCAGGCACATACATGCTGCACAGTCATACATGCAGGAAAAACTACTTAAAGTTCTCATATATTAAAAAATATATGCACAGAAACTACTGAACTACAAAACTACTTAAAGCTCTTAAACTATATATAAAAAAATGCACGTAAAGCAATTTTCTGCTGGACGTGGTGGCTTAAACCTTTAATCCCAGGCACGTAGGAGGCAGAGACAGGTGGATCTCTGTGAGTTTGAGGTTTACAAAGTGAGTCCAAGACAGCCAAGGCTACACAGAGAAACCCTGTCTCAAAAAAAAAAAAAAAAAAAAAAAGTAATTTTCTATACTAAGAAAGCTTTCGTGTTTATTGTCTTCTCCCTTCTTTCCTGAAGGCTCCCCAGGAAGCTCTCAGTCTGGGAGCAGACATAACTCTCCCCGAGCCCTAACTCACAGCATCACTGGGGATATTTTGCCCAAAAGTGAGGACCGACAGTGCAAAGCTTTGGATTCTGATGCTTTGGTGGTTGCGGTTTTCAATGGCTTACCTACGGTTGAGAAAAGAAGGAAAATGGTTGCCTTGGGGTAAATAACACTCTTATTGTTTGGAACCTCAAGTCCACATTATAATGAACACAATTATTTCTACTTTGCTAGTGTTTTAGGTGTGCAGTAAGTTTATTGTTGCATTAAAATGTCACTTTTTAAAAGAATTACGGCATTCTCTAGAATGCTCTCTCCTATCTCTAACGCCTTCCCCCTCCCCAGAATGACAGCAGTCCTCCTGCCTCAGCTTCCTGAATGTTGTATTACAGAACTGGGCAACCCTAGCTAGCTTAGAGCAAGAAAACTTGAGCACATTTGCCTTGTGAGATATGTATGCTTCAGCTTTTGATTTACCTTGTGCTTTAATCTGCTGTACATCCATTTGTGCTGGGTCATGTGTCATAAACGTGTCACATATTTGTGTGGAATGAACTGCTTTCATTAATCTTACTACTGTTATTTTGTTTTGAGACTGGGTCTCATATAGCTCAGGCTGGCCTTCAGTTCTTCATCCTGCCTTAGCCTACGAAGTGCTGGGATTACAGATATGAGCCACCATGCCTGGCTTAATTGGCTGTTTTATTTATTTTTTATGTTTTATTTTTTTTCGACCATATTTATAACAGCTTTATTTGTAATAGCCAGAAGCTGGAAACAACCCAGATGCCCCTCAACTGAGGAATGGATACAGAAATTGTGGTACATCTACACAATGGAATATTACTCAGCAATAAGAAACAATGTCTACATTTTTTCTTTTTTTATTTTATTAATGACGCTTTATTCACTTTGTATCCCCCCCATAAGCCCCTCCTCCCCCTTCTTCACGCATGCCTTTCCCCAAGTCTACTGATAGGGGAGGTCCTCCTCTCCTTCCTTCTGATCTTAGTCTATCAGGTCTCATCAGGAGTGGCTGCATTGTCATCTTCTGTGGCCTGGTAAGGCTGCTCCCCACTCAGGGGGAAGTGATCAAAGAGCAGGCCAATCAGATTATGTCAGAGGCAGTCCCTCTTCCCATTACTGAGGAACCCACTTGGACACTAAGCTGCCATGGGCTACATCTGTGCAGGGGTTCTAGGTTATCTTCATGCCTGGTACTTGGTTGGAGTATGAGTCTCTGGGAAGACCCCTGTGTTCAAATTTTCTGGTTCTGTTGCTCTCCTTGTGGAGTTCCTGTCCTCTCCAGATCTTACTATTTCCCACTTCTTACATAAGATTCCATGCACTCTGCCCAACAGTTGGCCATAAGGCTGTTTTTAAAATACTGCTTTTTCTTACTCTTTTTGTTGTTGTTGTTTGAAATCATCTCTAAAATGCAACTTGGAATTTCCAGAAAGGATAAGTGGTGATTGGTACCCTTATTTTTATTTAAAACCCATCGATGTCAATTAAATTTACAACCATTCTAAAGAAAGTGATTAACAAATATAGTATCTATGAATAAAGACCAGCGTCCTTAAGTTTGTGTCATTACCAAATCTGGAAAGACAGAAAGGGGTTTAATTTTGTTTTTAACTCAGGGTGCAACAATGGAAAAGAAAATCACTGGTGTGGTGGTGTACTCTTATATCACAGTTACTGAGGACACTGAGAGCCAGAGAATTGAAAGGTGGGCGCCATCATGGGTGACCTATTAAGATCCTGGCTCAAAATAAAAATTTGAAAATTGCCTGGAATTATAATTCATAGATAGAACAGATCTTAGAATGTGCATTGCCACAGTCAGGTTCAATTCCTAGTGCTGGGGTAGCGGGGAGGCATTGTTATGCCAAGATCACGAAACTCTTAGAGACCACCAGGAGACAACTTGATGCAAAAGCAAACGAGCTTTATTACAAGAGCAGTCGAACTCAGGACCCAAGTCTCACTGACGCAGCAGTAGAGAAGTGGGACCCCAGGCCCTGGGTGAGCAGGATTTCTAAAGGGAAAAACCGCAAGCAGGGGATGTTCATGCCTTGGTGTTACAGGATTGGGTAAAAGTCATAGGGGCGAGATGACCCTCTGGCTAAGGCACATACATAATCACAATTGCCATTCTTCTAAACTGTATCTGGAATGTTGGGGAGAATTTTCCCAACCGATTCTCATTGATTGTTGTCAGGGAGATTGTCTCTATTTTCTACCAAGTGTTTATTCTGTGATATTTCCTGGAGACTGTTGCTAGGAGAGTTAACTTTTTTTCTGCCAAGTGCACATTCTCTGATACTTCCCGGTACCTTAGTTCAGCTTTCGATCAAGTTAGCGTCTCATTTCAAAATGGAGTCACCCAGGCTAACTTACAAAACTCTTCAGCATCTAGGGTAGGAGGAAGTCAGGAACTGTATCCTTCCTGTCACCTAGCCTGATGTGTACATTTTTCTTTTTCTTGTTTTTTTTTTTTTTTTTGAGACAGGGTTTCCCTGTGTAGTCCTGGCTGTCCTGAAACTCTCTTTGTAGACCAAGCTAACCTAGAACTCAGAGATCCACCTGCCTCTGCCTCCCAAGTGCTGCAATTAAAGGCATGCACCACCATACTTGGCTGATGTACATTTCTTTCAAGTTATAGCTACAGCTAGCTTTATTTTATTTATTTGTTTGTTTCTTTGGTTAACGTTTTTTTTTTTTTTCTTAAAACTTTTTTTTGTTGTTGTTTTTGTTTTTGGTCTGCCCAAGTGTTGGATTCCCAGGACTAGAGACTTAAACATTTGTAAGCTGCCTTGTAGGTGCTAGGAATAAAATCTGGGTCTTCTAGAAGAGTCGCCAATGTTTATAAGCAGGATTTGGTAATCTTCCATATCATAAACTTCTATTCTGAATCTTCCGTAAAATTTTTTAAAAATGGTAATTTAATATTATACATAAGTAAGTCTTCCATGCCTGTTTTAGGGCTCAGCTTCAGGATAAAAAGAAAATTATTGTGTCATTTATTAGACATTTGAAAATGTGTTGTTTTTTTCTTCTTTGAGGACTAATGCAAAAGGAAGTCATCTGGAAGGAATACAGATGGCAGATTTGGAAAGTCATTCTGAAGCTGGGGAGTTACAACCCACACTACCTGAAGGAGCATCAGCTGCCCCTGAGGAAGGTGAGGAATGAACAAGTACAGTCAGAAAGATCAGCAAGCAGGAGACACTAAGTTCTCAGTGGCTGAAGTAGTAGGAAGTGATTGGTTAGTAAAAATGTTACAGAAATCTAACAAACATATTGGAACACTAAGTTCATTTGCCACTTTTTGTGACTTACAAGGTCATTGTATACATAGAAAAGCAAAATTGGGTAAGGTACTGCATGAAAATAAAAGGCTCTCTTGGGCCAGACATGCTTGTATATACCAGTAATCCCAACACTGGGAGGCAGAGTTCTAGCATAGCCAGGTCTACATATTTGAGTTCTAGTCCAGCTCGGGCTAAATAGTGAGCCCTCACTGTTTTTTGTTTGTTTGTTTGATTGGTTTGTGTATATGTGTTTTAGAGTTTGGGTGTGGTATGTGCCTTTAATCCTAGTACTTAGGAGCTCGAAGCAAGTGGATCTCTGTGAGTTTAAGGCTAGCCTGGTCTACAGACTGAGTTGTAGGACTTCCAGGGATATGTAAAGACCCTGTCTCAAAAAAATAAAAATAAAATAAAACACAAAGAAGGAGACTAATAATGTCCCAGATGCAGACACTTGCCCCCTAAACAGCTAATTAGGGGGCTGAAGAAGAGGTAGTAAGAGTACTTTTATTCCCCTACCAGAGGACCCAAATTTAGTTTCCATCATCTAAGTCTGGTGGTCACAACTACCTGAAATTCTCATTTCAGGAGATCATACAGACTCTCCTGGCCTCAGGGGATACCTGGACATTCACAGCATACAAGCATATAGACACATACACATGAATGAAACTAAAAATCTTTAAAACAAAATTTAAAAAAACCCTGCTACTTAGAATACTGTTAATCTTTTGTTTGAGATCAGGTTTTTGATTGTTTGGTGTTTGGTTTTCGAGACAGGGTTTGTCTGTGTAGCATGGCTGTCCTGGAACTCCATCTGGAGACCAAGCTGTCCATGAACTCACAGAGATCCATCTCCCTCTGCCTCCCGAGTGCCGGGATCAAAAGTGTGCACCACCACTGCCCTTGAGGTCAGCTTTGATTTATGTCTGTAAATTGCTTTTTTTCCACCAACATTATGTCGTATGTATCTAGGTCTGTGTGGGGTTATGTCCGTGTATGTGTCAGTTAGGTGCCCAAGGAGGCCAACAGCGTTAGATCCCACTAGGGCTGGAGTTACAGCTTGAGCTGCCTGATGTTGGTGCTGGTAACTGAACTCAGGTCCTCTGTAGCAGCAGTACTCATTCCTAAACACTGAGTCATTCCTCCAGTCTTCCCTTGCTCTTAGGGAAGAATTTCTCACTTTAACTGTCCCCTCTAATAACCGGCTTCAGCTCTGCAAACGTGCCTCAGTAGTAATTTTTAATACTTCTTCTATGATTGTTTATCTGATATCAAATATGACGTTTGTTTATTTTAACAATAGAAGTTACTTGAAACAATACTATGTCCTTTTTCTTCCTGCATCTTTTCTGGGTCATCAGAAAAGAACAGCTTTCAAAGATTTTTTTTTTTTCCATTGGAACTGTAATACTTTTCACTTCATTTGAATTTCAGTTATTGACGAATTGATATTCATAGCAGACAAAGGAGTGGTAGTATTTGCTTCTGGCTGTTCTGTGGGAGAACTGGTGAGTGGTGGCATTTTTGGGTTTTCTTTTTTTTCGTGCACAGGGTGGGGGACATGTGTGTGGAGGCTCAGAGGACAATCTTGGGTATTGTCTTTTTTGTTTCTTTGTTAAAACAGCATGACCAAGCCTACTTATAAAACAGTTTTATTGGGCTTACAGTTCTGTAGGATTAGAATCGAATCTATAATGGCAAACCAAAGGCATGATAGCAAGAACAGCTGAGAGCTCACATCTTGATCCCCAAGCAAGAGGCCAAGAGCTCACTGGAATGGCACTTTTGAAACCTCAAAGTTCACCCCAATTACTCCCCTCCTTCAACAAGTCCACATGTCCTAATCCTTCCCAAACTGTTAGGCCAATTGGGAACCAAGTATTCAAATGCATGAGCCTATGGGGGCCATTCTAAATCAAAGCACAGGTATCCTTAGGAAGACTGCCTTCTGGTCCCACATAGCACCTAAAATAAAATTTAAAAAATAATTATAAAGAAAGAAATATTACTACTATTGATCTTTTTGAGAAGGATTTTTGGTAATTCGTTACTTTCTAAATGTCTGCATACATACTGACAAATTATAGTGACGTGAAATCTTACAACATGTATTGGAAGTACAAATTTATTTTCTTTTTGTATCATTTATAAAATTCTTCTAGTTTGCCTGATGTTGAATTTAATTCTGGTTCTGGAGCAATTTCTGAATGCAGGTATCTGATTTAGAGGTATCTCTGCCTTGACACTGTTGCCACTGTGGGCTTGGCTATTACTGCAGGAAGGCTGTTCTCTGCCTAGAATGCTTAGCAGCATCCTCAGAGCTTTAAACCACAGGGTACAATAACCACTTCCCTATCAGTTACAGCCCAGAATGTAGCCACACATTACCAAGTGTTTCTTGGGAGTCAGAAATCATCCTCAATGAAAGACCACTGGTCAGCATACCAATCTGACCAGGGTCTTAGTTCTTGAGACCCACTTGCATGGTGGGCTGCAGGTGCTGATAAAACTTATCTGTTTTTAGGTATACTGTGTGTGTATGGTAGGAGGAGAGGGGCAGGGAGAGCCATTAAAAACTATGGGTATTGGAGAACACTGGTAAATAGTCTTGGATAACGTGGGGTGATAAGGATTCCAGTAGAGTATATCATCATAACAGTTGATAGTTACTAAGTCCTTACTATGTTATTCTCAAAATTACTCTTTATAATCGTTAACTTTGTTTTTCCCTGATTTTAGAAACTTAGAAATACAAGTTACCTTGCCCAAAGTCACATAAATAGTCATTGTAAGGGTTGGAATTTGAACCTAGAGTTAGTGCTTTCATCTCTGTCTGTACCTGGGCTGTAGTCTATCCTTGCAAAACTCAACTGAAGCCATGAGTAGAACTTAGGTGATTAGCTAGTAAGTCTGAGGCTAGAGTGGAAGTAGAAGTCAGATCACAAGCAACTTTATCGGTTCTTTAGAACCTGGACTTTGTCCTTTGAATGGGATCTAAGCCAGGAATAGCATCATACATAGAATTGTGTTTTGTGAGTTTCTGCTCTAGCCACAGCATGGAGAGTCATTGTTGCAGCTTATAATGGGATCTGGGGCTGGGTACATGAAGCTTTTAAGAAGCATGATCATAGTGTGGGAGAGGGTGGCAGCAAGCAGAGAGAGATGAATGTTGGTGCTCTGCTAGCTCTTTTCACTTTTGTTCTGTCTAAGACCCCAATCTTTGAGATAGTTCTGCCCATCTTTAAGGCAGTTCTTGATTCTTTGTTTCTCAATTAAACCTATTTGGAACCAGGCGTGGTGGTACTTGGGAAGCAGGGGCAGGTGGATCTCTGTATATTTGAGGCCAGCCTGGTCTACAGAGCTATTTTCCAGGACAGCCAGGGCTACATAGAGAAACCCTGTCTCTAAAAACCAAAAGGAGAGGGGGCGGGAGGACAAAACTTTGAAAACAGACACACTCAGGTGTAATTCTAAGTCCAGTAAGGCAGCAGTGAAGATAGACTGTCACGGGCCGGGTGAACTTAGTTGCTAAGAGTGCTTACCTAACACAAAGCTCTGGGTTCAAGTCCCAGCATTCCATATGGTGAATCTGCCTGTAATCACAGTGTTTGGAAAGTAGAGGGAGGGATAGCAAAAATTTGGTGTTATCCTTGAATTTACCACATAGCAAGTTCAAAGTCAGTTTAAGTTACATGATATCTTGTTTCAGAAGAAAAATAATATTAATAATATTAAAGGCATTTGGTAGTAGTATGTAAAGCAAACTGAGGTCTGGAAAGATGGCTCTGTGGGTAAACTTGCCACATGAAAGTCTGACAACCTGAGTTCACAGTGGGACAGAAAAAAAGAGTCCCTGGACAGTCCTTGTTAGATTACAAGGTAGCTTGCTGAGAAGGCTGGGAGGGGGAGCACAGGAGACACATGATGGGCACTTCAAGCTTTTGCACATGCTGTCACCAGCAGAGGCAGTGCTTAGGAAACCCTCATTTTTCATGCTGTAAGCCTTAGTTGAGTAGGTTTGTGTTAAGTTCATGTTTTTTAAAAACAAAACCAAATTTAAAGAAGGATGGGGAACAAAGTTCTCACTGTGTCAAATGGAGGAACTGTTTTGTCATGTCACTGGTTTTTCTTCCTCCTGGGGGAAGAGGCTGTCTGAAGAAACCCTAAGGCCTCGTTTCTTTGCTTTTACTAGCCGGGAGTTTGGGACTACTAAAATCGGGGTGGAGGAGGGGTGTTTTTTTTTTTTTTTTTTAGGTTTGGGTTTTTGAGGCAATCTCATTTTCAGAGTAGAACTCAAAAGAGTCCTCCTGTCAGAGCCTCCCAGTGCTGGGGTTATAGGTGTGTGTGTCAGCATGCCTGGTTCCAAGTAGTCTCTTACTTCCTCTCCAGTATCAGTGGAATATAATTGTGTTTTTTTTTTTTTTTCTTTGACATGATTGTCATAAATGGAACCATTCCTTTCTAACTGGGACCATATGGGACAACCTTATATTGGTCTTCTTTTTAATGATTTGATACTGGCAGCCTAGGTTAACCCACCTCCCCCTATTGATAAGCTATAGAATTCTCTAGAATTCTATGCTAAAGCAGCACAGGTCTCTCATTTAGTCAGGAATGGTCATAATACCCATTCCAGTGAAAAGCCTTGGCACAGCTGTTAAACAACATTGCTTGCAGACTACCTAACAGATAAATTATGCAACCTGTGATGGCTTGCTATTGCTTATCACCTTTAGGGTAATCAAGATGAGCTATCAAAAAACAACAACAACAAAATCAAGCAACTGAGTTAAACAGTAATGAAAATAGCAATCTTGTTTAGAAGTCTTTCAATGAGATATCATGTCTGACTGTGGCAGGTGGTTTCAGA